ATTGTCAGTTCTGATCCTCAGAGCAGAAGTTCTTTAAAATAGGTGTATAGTTTCCGCTTTTGCAGTTGGTTAATCCTCAATGAAATATAAAAGCATAATTTGCCTCTGAGAAATCAAAAATCATTAGCAGACAGGTGAATCTGGATGTGTTGGGTTTATATTGTTGTGATTGTTTCGCTTTAATTTAAGGGGATAATGAGAAAGGCTTTGAAAAGGCTGCAACCCAGAGAAGGTTGTTTAGGGCTTAGTGTCCTGCGTGTTTTCTGACTACCGATTTGTGCTAAAGGTCAGCATTGTTTAGACGCAGCCTAAGTGAGATTGATGAATGCAGCAGGTTTTTATTTAACTGGAAAGGAGAATTACTACTTCGTAAGCACTGATCCTTTGAATTCATCGTGTTGAAGGAAATGCACTATCAGTGAACACACAAGTGAACTACTCCTGAACTAGATTTTGGACTGTCATTTGAATAATCTTAAGAGTGATTAGTGATTGCTAATCATGCTGGCAACTAATTTTTGAGGCACAAATGCATCTGGTGGAGAAACATGTCAACACGTTTGTTTTGAATCTTGTGACTGCTGTGAAGTCATTTCAAGCTAGTATTAGACTTTTGAAGAAGAAAGTGTGTCTTTGAAAGTTATAATTATAGGATTTATAATTTTTTAAAATTGAGCGTGGGAGATATTTGAGTTATATTGATGATGTCTTTTTTTCCAGATGATTAGTCTAAATTAGTGTTCATGCATGTACTGTATTTATAATTTGTGTACTGCTTCTAAATGCTCATGGGTAAGTGAAATTCCTATTGAAGTTATTGGGGTCTTATAAAGTTCCAGAATTAGGCCCATGGCATAAACTCACATCTATTTATGATGGAATTGATTGATTAAACATTTTGACATGTTTCCTTTGGGGTGTTCAGTTTCATTGCTGATAAAAAATCTAGAGTTGGGGGAGAATTTGGATGCCTCTTTAAGCTCTTTATTCAACCAAAAAAAAAAATAGCTTATTTTATGTCATCCTTATGCAACTACTAAAACAGCTAAAGTTTCTGTTTTTATTTTTTTTCTTTTACTTGATGACTTCTTTTACACAACCAAATAGTTTATACATAAAGCATTATTAGACATCATAAAAAATAAATAACTTTGGCTGAGAAAGCCTTGGGAGTTTTACAAGGAAAAAGATTCCAGAGGGTTTGAGGCCCTCAGTTAAAATGTTCAAATTTTTAAACATTGGAAAGAAGATTTATAAAGCATTGAGCTGTTGTAGTGAGAGAGCCTTTGGTCTCCATGAACTTTTATTTTCGACTCAGTGGGCAAAGTTTTTGAGGTTTCTGTGGTTTGGGTAGGGGACCTTTTCAGAAATGCCAGGCTTTTAGAAAAAAAAAAAAAAAAACAAACCCACAGCTTTTCTTCTAATCAAGGCTCTGTTTTAAAGTTTGAAAACTTTGCTGTGATTAGAAGAATGAATTATTTCTCTGTTTCGTTGGGGTTTCCTCTGGGTGCCCAGGCTGAAGAGTGTTCTCTGCCTGGGTTACCTTGCAGGGCACCCCAGAGGCGCTGGGAGCCAGGAGGGCTGCCTGCCTGGATCTGGTCCCTGCCGCACCATACCGGGCCATGAGCATCGCTCAGAGGCAGGCTGAGCCCTAAGCACAGCGGGGAAATCACACCGGGCAGAGGGGGTCCAGAGAGAGCCAGGAGATGAGGAACCTATAGATAGCATTCCCAGTGGGTCTGTGTTTTGTTTAAAGTTTTTCTTGGTATTGAAAGGTGATTTAAAAAGAAGAAAGGGAAAAAACACACAAAATCCGTCTAATTGTACATAGTACCTGGAGGCTATATATTGATACATAGATTATTTTCGGGAAGGGAAAGGGAATGAAGAGAGAAAGAAGGAAGAAAGAGACAGAGGGAGGAAACGAGAAAAGTACACTGAAACTATTTTGGTAATTAATGGCAGGCTGACCTAATGAGCTATTTTCAAAATTATTCGTTGCTTTTTTAACAAAGTGACTGACTTTTTGAAATTGGGTGGCAGTTTAATAACATTTATAATCTTTTCCAATCACTATGTGAAATGCTTATGCATGTTAACTCATTTAATTCTCATACCCAATTTGTGGCATTAGTTACCCATCTTGTAGAAGAGGAAATTGAGGTGCAGAGAGCCCAGGTAACATCTCCAGGCAAAACGGCCAGCGGCAAATGAAGATTTGAACACCAATTTTTCTCATTTCAAAATCAGGCTGCCTCCTTGCCACCTAAGACCAGGAGTTAGAAGGAGACCTTAGAGGTGTCCGTCCTAGCTCACCTGCTCTACTACATAAGGAAACTCAGGAGGTCCGGTCACCCCTGAACCTGGGGGAGACAGCAGCTCACTCTGCAGTTTCCTGGAGTGCACTGTATGGCCGTCCCTGGGCTGCCAGTTGCCATGGGCACCAGGACATGACTTTGGCCAAGGCTGCTGACTGAAGGCAGTCAGGGGCTCCTCCTGTGGGGGTGCCTTCATACCGTGTGTTCCTTTCATCTGAGTTCCACCTGGCACCACCGCTGGGAAGGTATTCCCCGCCTGCCAGTCACTCTGGCCAATTTGACATCTTCCATCATCACAAGCTTCACACCTGTTTACTTGCAGACTGCTTGCTTTTCCTTATGAAATGCACATGTGCGTGCTCAGTCAGGTCCAACTCTGACTCCACGGACTGCAGCCCAACCAGGCTCCTCTGTCCATCGTGTTTTCCAGGCAAGAATACTGGAATGGGTTGCCATTTCATACTCCAGGGGATCTTCCCGAACCAGGGATCAAATCCATGTCTTCTGCACTGGCAGGCAGATTCTTTATCACTGCTTGGTTCGGCATAAAAACCTTGGTTGTTAAAGTAACAGCCAGCCCCTTCCATTGCATAGCATGTTATCGTTTGCCATCACTGATATAATCATTAACTGCTCTGGCTCTGGAATCCCATGGGCTTATTAAGAACTGGATTTGCCATGGGCTAGATAATCTGAACTCAGCAAGTCACATGACTGCTCTGAGCCTCAGTTTGCTTGTCAGTAAAGTGGGGCCATGCATAGCACCTACCTTATAGGGTGTTGTGAAGATTAAATGAATTAGTGCATATAAAGGGGTCTGCACAGGGCATTTGCATGTTGTAAAAGCTCAAGAAACAAAGGGGTTTTGAGGACTTGCTTCTCCTTGAGTCCCTGTAATAACTTCCAAGGCCCTCTCTCCACTCCCTGTCTCTGCCCTCCTCTCAAGATTGCATAGGAGAAGAAAACACTTTCAGTCTTTTCAACACATGACCTCCATATGCCTGTGATCTGGGCGGGATCATTCCCATCCTTTACTTAGGGAAATTGCCACTCCGTGGGATTCAGTCACATGCATTGGGTCATTTTTGTTGTTGCTGTTTAGCTGCTAAGTTGTGTCTGATTCTGCGACATTATAGACTGTAGCCCACCAAGCTCCTCTGTCCATGGGATTTCCCAGGCAAGAATACTGGAGTGGGTTGCCATTTCCTTCTTCTGACTCCACGGACTGCAGCCCAACCAGGCTCCTCTGTCCATCGTGTTTTCCAGGCAAGAATACTGGAATGGGTTGCCATTTCATACTCCAGGGGATCTTCCCGAACCAGGGATCAAATCCATGTCTTCTGCACTGGCAGGCAGATTCTTTATCACTGCTTGGTTCGGCATAAAAACCTTGGTTGTTAAAGTAACAGCCAGCCCCTTCCATTGCATAGCATGTTATCGTTTGCCATCACTGATATAATCATTAACTGCTCTGGAATCCCACAGGCTTATTAAGAACTGGATTTGCCATGGGCTAGATAATCTGAACTCAGCAAGTCACATGACTGCTCTGAGCCTCAGTTTGCTTGTCAGTAAAGTGGGGCCATGCATAGCACCTACCTTATAGGGTGTTGTGAAGATTAAATGAATTAGTGCATATAAAGGGGTCTGCACAGGGCATTTGCATGTTGTAAAAGCTCAAGAAACAAAGGGGTTTTGAGGACTTGCTTCTCCTTGAGTCCCTGTAATAACTTCCAAGGCCCTCTCTCCACTCCCTGTCTCTGCCCTCCTCTCAAGACTGCATAGGAGAAGAAAACACTTTCAGTCTTTTCAACACATGACCTCCATATGCCTGTGATCTGGGCGGGATCATTCCCATCCTTTACTTAGGGAAATTGCCACTCTGTGAGATTCAGTCACATGCATTGGGTCATTTTTGTAGTTGCTGTTTAGCTGCTAAGTTGTGTCTGATTCTGCGACATTATAGACTGTAGCCCACCAAGCTCCTCTGTCCATGGGATTTCCCAGGCAAGAATACTGGAGTGGGTTGCCATTTCCTTCTCCAGAGGATCTAGCTGCTAAGTTGTGTCTGATTCTGCGACATTATAGACTGTAGCCCACCAAGCTCCTCTGTCCATGGGATTTCCCAGGCAAGAATACTGGAGTGCATTGCCATTTCCTTCTCCAGAGGATCTTCCTGACCCAGGGATCGAACCTGCATCTCCTGCATTGCTTCATACGGCAAGAGTATCCACACTGAGGTTGTTATGCTACCAAAGCTAATTGCAGTTTTTAAAGCCAGGCCATCTCCATGCTAATTAAAAACATGCAGTTGCAGGGAAGGGGCTGGGGGTTTCTCTTGTGCCTCAAGTTCTGATGGCCTTAACTTTGCCTCTCAGTGCTCTTACCCACATGGGCCTACAGTGTACATACTTCCCATCCTCGTTTTCCCTGTTTACTTGATGCTTCTTCCTTTCTCAAGATTTCCACCCGTGTCATTCTTCTCTGTGCTTAGTGAAGTGCAAAGCACCTGCCAGAGTGTCTGACACAAGTCAGCACTCAATAAGTGTTTATTTAAGATAGTTATCAACACCTGTTTCATATTGTGAGGAATGCTGCATCTCTTTGCCTGCCTTCTAGAAAGCCTGACTCAAGGCTCTGTGCAAGCGAGTCCTTGATAAATTAACTTCAAGTTCACAGAGCCCCTGTGAACCAGGCATGGAGCTGGTGCTTCATTCATTTCTTTCTTTCCCTTCCTCTTCTCTCCTCATTGATCTGCTCTTCTGTGCCAAGCACTGTCCTAAGAGTGGGGAATCAGGTACAGTCAGCTCTTAAGGAGCTTATTCTTAGGGGCATATTAGTACTAAGTACTAAGTACTAAGCAGATTAGTACTAAGTACTAATATTCAGTTCAGTTCAGTTGCTCAGTCATGTCCGACTCTTTGTAACCCCATGAATCACAGCATGCCAGGCCTCCCTGTCCATCACCAACTCCTGGAGTTTGCTCAAACTCATGCCCATCGAGTTGGTGATGCCATCCAGCCATCTCATCCTCTGTTGTCCCCTTCTCCTCCTGCCCCCAATCCCTCCCAACATCAGGGTCTTTTCCAATGAGTCAACTCTTTGCATCAGGTGCCCAAAGTATTGGAGTTTCTGCTTCAGCATCAGTCCTTCCAATGAACACCCAGGACTGATCTCCTTGCAGTCCAAGGGACTCTCAAGAGTCTTCTCCAACACCTCAGTTCAAAAGCATCAATTTTGCGGCACTCAGCTTTCTTCACAGTGCAACTCTCACATCCATACATGACCACTGGAAAAACCATAGCCTTGACCAGATGGACCTTTGTTGGCAAAGTAATGTCTCTGCTTTTTAATATGCTATCTCGGTTGCTCATAACTTTCCTTCCAAGGAGTAAGCGTCTTTTAATTTCATGGCTGCAGTCACCATCCACAGTGATTTTGGAGCCCCCAAAAATAAAGTCTGACAGTTTCCACTGTCTCCTCATCTATTTCCCATGAGGTGGTGGGACCAGATGCCATGATCTTAGTTTTCTGAATGTTAAGCTTTAAGCCAACTTTTTCACCCTCCTCTTTCACTTTCATCAAGAGGCTTTTCAGTTCCTCTTCACTCTCTGCCATAAGGGTGGTGTCATCTGCATATCTGAGGTTATTGATATTTCTCCCAGCAATCTTGATTCCAGCTTGTTCTTCTTCCAGCCCAGCGTTTCTTATGATGTAGTCTGCATATAAGTTAAATAAGCAGGGTGACAATATACAGCCTTGACATACTCCTTTGCTATTTGGAACCAGTCTGTTGTTCCATGTCCAGTTCATTAGGAGCATATTATTCTCTTAATCCTTGTAATAACCTCATGGGGTAGATATTTTTAATATAGGAAGAAAATTGAGGTCCATGAGGTTAAGTAATTTTCCCAGGGTTGTGGAGTTTACCTAGTCCTTTTTTAAGGGGAGTGTTAGAATTAATGCCCTCCTGGCTTCCCAGGCCATGAACCAAGAGATCCAAGTATCAAACAGAATGATAACAGGAAGGAGCTAAAGAGTAATGCTGGGGAGGTGGGCCTGATATAAGAATTATACTATTGGTAGCTAAGACTTACATAGTGCTTATCATGGAAACACTCTATGTCTCACAATACAAATCCCATGAGGTGCCATTATTACTACTCCCATTTTGCATATTAAAAAAATTGAGGCTCAAGGAAGTGGAGTTGCTCACCCAAAGTAATCCAGTAAGACAGTCTGACTTGAACCTGGCAGTTGAGCTCACGGTCTGTGTTCTTAACTACTACAATGTTAATTCAAACGAACCAGAAAAGTGCCTCAGACATAAACAGATGCCTGGGACTCATGGTGGTTCCATGTGTCTATAACTTGCTCTGTGCCACCTGCTCTCCAGGTATGCTCTCCCCACTGCTAGAAGTGGAGAGAAAATGACATTTCTACAACCTGGTTATGCAATTATGTACATTAACTCTGGTGTTCTCAGGGATATTTTCAGAGCAGAGAGCTGCTTTTACATTGCGTTTATCTTTGACAGGAGATGGCACTGAACCTCTCAGGTTTAATTTTCTCTAGTCTCCGGAAACTGTTGGTGAGTTCAGGATCTGTGAAATATCGGCATTGGTGTATCCTTGGGCTTCCCTTGCTAATTCTTGTTATGTTGCAAATAATGACATCTTAATTAATCTCTGCTCACTTCAGAGTTTTCTTATTGAGTTTCCCTAAAGCAAGAAGGGGCGGTAACATTTTTGAGCACATATTGTGTGTCTGGTATTATTTTAGACACAGCTTAGTGCTCACAACAAGACTTTAAGGTGTGTGATTATGGGTCTCATAAGATTGCCGGGAGAAATATCAACAACTTCAGATATGCCGATGGTACCACTCTAATGGCAAAAAGTAAAGAGGAACGAAAGTGCCACTTCATGAGGGTGAAAAAGGAGAGTGAAAAAACTGGCTTAAAATTCAACATTCAAAACACTAAGATCATGGCATTCAGGCCCATCACTTTGTGGCAAGTAGATGGGAAACAGTGGAAGCAGGGACAGATTTTATTTTCTTGGGCTCTAAAATCACTGTGGATGGAGACTGCAGCCATGACATTAAAAGATGCTTGCTCCTTGAAAGGGAATCTATGACAAACCTAGACAGCATATTTAAAAGCAGAGATATCATATAGCTGACAAAATCCATACAGTCAAAGCTATGGTTTTTCCAATACTCATGTGTGGATGTGAGAATTGAACCACAAAAAAGGCTGAACACTAAAGAATTGATGCTTTCAAGCTGTGGTGCTGGAGAAGACTCTTGAGAGTTCCCTGGACTGTAAGAAGATCAAACCAGTTAATCCTAAAGGAAATCAACCCTGAATATTCATTGGAAGGACTGATGCTGAGGCTGAAGCTCCAGTACTTTGGCTTTCTGATGCAAAGAGCTGACTCACTAGAAAAAATCCTGATGCTGAGAAAGACTGAAGGCAAAAGGAGAAGGGGGCGGCATAGGATGAAATGGTTAGATAGCATAGCTGACTCAATAGACATGAATTTGAGCAAACTCCAGGAGATAGTGGAGGTCTGAGGAGCTTGGCATACTGCAGTCCATGGGGTCACAGAGTTTCACATGACTTAGCAACTGAACAACAACAAGAAAACATAGGTTAATGCTTAGGTTAGAGTTAGCTGGCTCAGTTGCTAGGCTGTGTGATCGTGGGCAAGTCATTGCTATGATGATGATGTTGACGAGGATGATGGTGCTTGCTTTGAGAGGCAGCATTTCAGGAGATGGTAATAGTGTCACCTTGAACTCACATCATGCAGTGACAGAGACCCCAGCAGATCAAGAAGAGACATGGGACACCGTTGCTATGGCTAGGTCGGATGGGTGGATGCAGTTAGCCAGAAAGAGGACACATTTCTTATCTCCTTCCATCTCACTCATCTGTTCTGATTCAAGCCTTGAAGACTTAAACTCTTTAGCAGCCTCCTACTAGGGGGACATTAGGTGCCAGTTAGCCTGGGACAGTCCTGGTTCACGTATACTGTGTCAGTATCTCAGTCGTGTCTGACTCTTTGTGGCCTCATGGACTGTGTAGCGAGCCAGGCTCCTCTGTCTGTGGAATTCTCTAGGCAAGAATACTAGAGTGGGTAGCCATTTCCTTCTTAAGAGGATCTTCCCGACCCAGGGATCAAACCTGGGTCTCCTGCATTGCAGGCAGATTCTTTACTATCTGAGCCACCATGGAAACACCCGGTTTATATATATGGTCCCAGCAAAATCCTTACCAGCATTGCTTTTCAATATCAGAACTGTCCAGGTTTAGATGATAAGAGGTATGGTCTCATGCTTCCCTTTCCCTCCCCCACCAAGACTGTGTTTAGCAGCCCCTGATGGAGCTGCCCACAGAGCTGATTTGCTTCTGCCACACTCTGCTCGAAAACTTTTAGAGGTTCTCAACCCTCTACTGAATAGAATCCAGACTCCATAACCCAGCCCTGAGTATGAAGGCAGTGCTTTTATGTGCTCATACCCCATAGCATCTTACAGAGTGCTAGTTAAACAGGATAGTCTCATTAAACACATGTTGAATTAATACCTGTTCTTGAATGTGTCATTTTCCTGCCAGCTCCAGGGCCTTTGCACATGCTGTTTCTTCTGCCATCCTCCCTCTCTTTACCTGGGGTAGTAATATGTGTCTTCTTACTATTCAGCTGCCAGTTAGATGCTACTTATTCTGAGAAGCTTCTCTGACCCTCATGGGTGAGACCAGAGCTTTGTTTTCCCCCTCTCCCCTGGCTTTCTTGGTAATGACATCTCTATTTGTGAGATTATTGAATAGCTGACTCCTGCACTAAACGCTAACGTTCCACAAAGACAGAAACAGTCTGTCTTCTTCCCTGCTATGTTCCTACTGTCTAGCTCGGTGCCTGTAACATATTACCCCATAAAGAGTTGATAAACAGACAGTGGGATGTATGAATGTAAGGCCCCTCGCAGGCTGAGGTTGTCCTTTCTGAGCCAGTGCAGCTCATGTCACCTGATTAAACCCTGCGACAGAATCTTAGCACACTTGGAATACATGTGAAGTTCTTACTCCGGCCAGCAAGTCCCTACAAACTTTGGGTGCATCCTAACTTCCTGACCTCCTTTCCTCCGGCCTCCCCCTTCCTTCCTCTCCCCTACCACGCTGGTTTCCCAGCTCCTCTTCACACCCTCAAACCTCCTCCCACCTCGGGCCTTTGCACTCCAACATCACCTCCTCTGAGAAGCCCTCAGGGTCCCTGCCCCTTAAAACCGCGCCTGCATCTCTCTCTGTCCTATTCTCTGGCTTCATTTCTTCATGACAGTCTGTGCTCTAAGTCATTTTTTTATCGGTTTTCCTCCGTCTCCACCACAGATTATAAGCTCCCTGAGAGCAGAGACCTTGCTGCATGTTCACCACTAGAGCCTCAGAGCCTGGCAAACAGTCGGTGCCAAATCCCTGTTTGGTGGGCCAGGGATGGAATGAGCGCAGGGCCAGGGTGGGGCTGCCCCTTGGAGGCAGGGACAAGGGCCCCTTCCTGGAACCCAGCGGCCCCTGGGGCAAGGCCTGTGGTGTCGCCATGGCAACCCACTGACCTAGGAGCCCCCACCCTGGAGAGGCCACTGCTGCCTGCCTCCTGGGCCCACTTCCCACACGAACCTGTGTGTCACCACACAGGAGCCCTGTGGAGAGCCCCGGGGGAGAGAGGAAAGGGGCCGAGACAGAATGAGCCAGAGGAACGCACATCCTGGCCTGAGGGGAGACAGGAGCAGGCCCCGGCGGCGCGGGTACACTGGTAATGACTGGGATCTGAGGGAGGGGCGTGAGGGTGCACCCTGGCACCCCCAGAGGGACCTGGGGCCCTATCCTCCCTGGGTAGCTCCACCTGTGGCCTGTCAGCTCTTTTATGTAGCATTTCTAAAGCTGTGCGTTCCTAAAATAGGCCCCAGCGCAGCGCCCCAAAAGACTGTTGATAGAAAGAGGATGAATGCCGCCTTTTATTAAAACCCGGTGACACTTTCTAAGTCAGGCGGCGTTTTCCTCAGGTATTGCATAAGTCAAGAACTCCCTGTTCTCACCCCGTTCCTCAGAAACAAAGCTCATCGTGTTATTCCCCCACTGCTTCAAAATCATGGCCGGCTCCCAGCTGCCTGCAGGCGTCTTGGCCTGGGAGAGGGGGCAGTGAGGCCTTTGCAATCTGCTCCTAACGGAATCCCCTGCCATGCCTTGGGTCACGGGTCAGTGGGTTCTTCACCTTTCCCAGAGCCCATTTTGGGCCTTTGTCCGTGACAGTGGCCCTCTCCCCCAGAACACCCTTCTCTCCTCCTTGGTTCGGCAGATGCCGACCTCTTTAAGGGCCTGGGGAAATGCCCTCCCCCCTACCCTCTGTGAAGCAGCCCAGCTGAGCTGGAAGCCCCTTTTTGTCATCTAGACATACTCCTGGTTCCCTGCTGGCTGAGCAAGGCGGGGTGCCGGGGTGACAGCCAACAGCACTGGGGTCAGACGTGCAGTGGTGACTTCACCTGGCTTGTCTGACACTCTTTCTTCCTCACACGTTGGAGCTGCTCAGGGCTCTGTTTCGGAACTGCTGTGAGGAGGAGTGGGAAAGCAGAGTGACCAGCGTGGGGCGGGCGCTCAGTAAAGGCTGTGTGTGTGCTCAGTCCCGTGGCTGTGTCTGACTCTTTGCGACCCCATGGACTGTAGCTTGTCAGGCTCCTCTGTTCATGGGATTTTCCAGGCAAGAATACTGGACTGGGTTGCCATTTCCTCCTTCAGGGGATCTTCCTGACCCAAGGATCGACGTCACATCTCTTGCATCTCCTGCATTGGCAGGCAGATTCTTGATCACTGAGCCACCTGGGAAGTCACATACAACAATAAAAATAAATTTAAAACCTTTTTCTCATCTCCCTCCTTATTATAAGTAAAAAGAGAGAAAAAGAAAGCAAAAAGTTGTGCAAAGACCAGGATGTGGCAATTCTCAAGATAATGACAAGGGACACAGAGCCTAAGGAACCGACTCCCTGAGTGGTTTTTATGCAAGTTGCCTGATCAAAGCCACATTGGTCACAACATATAATAGAGGCACCCAGACGATGTTCTATTCACCCTGTAGCCAAAGAATCTCTACCCTCTGACCCTTTTCNCAATTATTCGGTGCTCAGCCTTCTTTATGGCCCAACTCATATCTGTACATGACTATTGGAAAAACCATAGCTTTACTATATAGACCTTTGTTGGCACAGTGATGTCTCTGGTTTTTAGTACATTGTCTAGATTTGTCATAACTTTCCTTCCAAGGAGCGGGCATCTTTTAATTTCATGGCTGCAGTCACCATCTGCAGTGATTTTGGAGCCCAAGAAAATAAAATCTGTCACTGTTTCCATTGTTTTCCCCCTCTATTTGCCATGAAGTGATGGAATCAGATGACATGATCTTAATTTTTTGAATACTGGGTTTTAAGCTGAGTGAGGGAAATAAATAAAAAGAATGCATAAGAAAACAATATCTTTTCAGGTCCTGAGACCCTCATCCATCAGAAATATCCTGCTGTAATATATTGGTTTCCTGTTAAATAGCTTTTGTCCAACTCTTCTTTTTAAAATTATTTTATTTTATTCTTTTTTTTTTTTTGGCCACACCACCTGACATGTGGGATCTCAGTTCCCCGACCAGGGATCGAACCCTTGCCCTCTGTACTAGAAGTGCGGAGTCTTAACCACTGGACCACCGGGGAAGTCCCTATTCATTTCTTCTGTTAGAACTTTAGACTGAAGACCTTTGACAAGTATTTGCAAAATGAATAGATGGATGGACAAGAGGGAGCAACTGGCCTGTGCCTGATCTTGGGTGGCCTTGGGTGCAGTGTCTTGAAGCAGAGTTCCTGGCCAGAGTTTGAAGTCAGGCCATGACAGTGAGAGCACTGAATCCAAGCCACTAGACCCCCAGGGCCAGTGGCCAGTGACAAGGCCCTGGCCTATCCTAGAGATAGGTGTGAAACAAGTAACGTGTTTATTAGGAGGAAAAAGGGTACATGCAGACAGACACGCAGGTAGGCTCAGGGAGACAGAGTGGTGGTTTGAATTACTTTTATGGGGCACTTCTGCTGGGTTTCCTTTGGCCAATCACCTTGCTTTGCCTGGTTCTGAATCTGTATTGGGTGTATCTTAGGGTCCTCCTCTGTGTGTGTGCACATCTCTTAGCCAAGATGGATTCTAGGGAAGAGACCTATGGGCATTACTTACTACGGGTGGTGCCCCTTCCCCTTTCTGACCTCCAAGGAGCCTTTCTGTGCATGTGTAGTCAGGGAGGTCTCCTTGACTTTGAGAATGAGGAATGTGTGGTCTTTTATCTTTTATCTGGGCAGGGTGCAGCCTCCTCCATGATCCTGCTGTTATGGAGTTTCTGTCCACAGGGGAGAAACTATTCAGCCTGGGGCCCATCTATCTCCTGCCTCATGCCCAGGAGGATGCAGTGGGAAGAATAAGCATAAGCTTTGGAGCCTGAAGATCTGGGTTTGAATTCTGACTTTAACACCTCTGACCTTGGCCACACCACTGCCAACAGGCCACAGCTCTGTGCAGTTTCCTTATCTGTGCCTACGTACTCAACCGCTTCAGCTGTGTCTGACTCTTCATGGCCCTATGGACTGTAGCCGGTCAGGCTCCTTTGTCCATGAGATTCTCCAGGCAAGAATACTGGAGTGGGTTGCCATGCCCTCCTCCAGGAGATCTTCCCAACCCAGGAATTGAACTCACATAACCTTCGGCTACTGTATTGCAGGCAAATTCTTTACCGCTGAGCCACTGAGAAAGCCATTCCTTATCTGTAACGTGTAAATTTCTGTCCCATGAGGTCGACTGTGAAGCTCAGATCAGGTTCTCCGTGTCAGGGTGCCCTGTAAACTTCAAGGATTATGTGCCTTTTGACAACCAACGTAGTCGGCTCCTCCTGGTAGGCCAATGTATGTTCGTGAAGCCCTGCTCTGAGTCTTGGACAGGCTTGGATATGCCATGCCCCCAGTGCAACTACTTCCTCGTTGCTACTTGCTGCTGCTGCAAAGGGAAGCAAGATTTCCTCCTGGGAAACCCAATAACCATTTAAGGCTCTACTCAACCTCATTTTAGGAACTTGAGAAAGTCATTTCAAATTGGGATTTCCAAATCTCTGATCTGAAGAGGGGAGACATGAAGCTCGGCCTCTAAGGATGTGGGTTAAACTCCCTGTAAGATGAAAAATCTACGAGGCATCCTCCTTCCTGCCCATGATCCCAGATGAGTCAGGTGAAAGGATGCTTTGCAGCCCAGGAGCCTATGCTCAGAGTCATCAGTAAATCCTGCTGGACACTTAGAGCAAGGCTGGTCCTTCTCAAAAGGTCAGATGGTTTTTATGGATCAAGTATGAGGCAGGTGGGAACTGGAGGTTATCCAAGTGTGAAACTGCTTCTCCAGTGTCCCAGAGCACAGCGCCAATACTGCTGTGCTGATCACAGTATGAGAACTTTTGTTTTTCATAACAATAAATATAGATATTAAGACATATCATATCATCTTGTCCTGAGTTTTAATTTATGACTTTTTGCACACATGCAAAAACTCACATAGTATCTGGCACATAGTAGGAACTTACTGTTGTTTTTCAAAAAAGTAATGCATTCAACAACATATTTATTGCACTATATCTGTGCAGCCAGGCACAGTGCCAGCTCCTGGGCACAGGTGAACAAAAATGACAGGGTCTCAGCAATCATGAGCTGATGGAGGAGCATCCGCCTTGGTTTTTTGATGGCAACTAGAGGGCAGAAACCAGTCTTATTCATGTTTATATCAGACTCACTTGACTACAGCTTCTTGATCTACATGGGACAAAATACATTTTTGTTGAATTTTTATTTGGAAAATTGCCTTTGATGTGTTGTCCTTTTATGCTGCATGTGGTAGAAAAGAAAGCGATCAGGAAATTCTTTAGATGTGTGGATATGTCTCCTTACACACTGTGCATTTTTTTATATCATTCATGTCAATAACATAATGTTCGTTGAGGCCAGTCTAAAGGAAAAACTTTATACCAGGCACTAGTGGAGAGTCAAGAGAAATAAAATGGACTGCGTTCTTAAGATGTTTAGGTTCTAAACGGTGGACCCTGTTATGTAAAACAAAGGCTTGCAAATAAAACATGTAAATGAACTTAGCAAAAATTATAGTATGTAAGTTGAGTTTTAGCACAAGTTGTAATACAAGGCAGACTGTGATCATTGTTGCAATACTGGCAGTGTGTTCTGGAGACCATATGGGATATGGGATAAGGAGAGCTCAGAGCACACTTGGAGAGACAGCACTGTGGTTATGACCTGAGTGTGAATGCTAATCCTGCCTCTTACCAGCTGGATGACTTTGGACAAGTCATCTAATCTTTCTGAGCCTTAGTTTCCTGATCTCTAAAATGGGTTTATTGATAGAACCTATCTTTTAGGGTTGTTATGAGGATTATGTATTATGGTGTACCAAATGCATTTACATAATGCTTGACCCATAAGACCTCAGAATATGGTGGCCTTTGTTAAGCCACTTAATTTACAAATGAGGGCTTCCCACGTGGCTCAGTGGTAAAGAATCCATTTGCCAACACTGAAAACACGGGAGAGGAGTGTTTGACACCTGGGTTGGGAAGTTCCCTTGGAGGAAGGAATGGCAATCCACTCCAGTATTCTTACCTGGAAAATCCCATGGACAGAGGAGCCTGTCAGGCTACAGTCCATGGGGTCACAAAGAGTGGGACATGACTGAGCATGCTCACACACACACAATCTACAAATGAATAAGATAGATGAATGCAGTGTTTCATTAAACATTCAATATGCCTGCCATTCTGGTTGATTAATTCTTGGTCTTTGTAAAATCATAACCCATTATCAATAGTTTTAAAGTATGTAATGCTTACTTCACGTGATGAATAGAGAGGCCTTTCAGTCCTATGGAGCAACCTGACTTACGAGACACGAGCTGCAGATGGCACTGTTGAGGTTCCCCCTAGGGAAGAAGATAAACCTCAAAAGTCGCCTGTGACTCCAAGGCCTGTGACCTCCATAGATTTTCCAGAATGTTGCATTCATACAGTCTGGAATGCACGACCTTTGAAGGCTCTGGAAACGCCCATGTCTAGAACAACAGAGGTGATGGTTCTGCCAGACCCGGCACTGCTTAGACCCCGTCTGAACCATCAGCGCTCACCGAGCCCCACGTGTTCAAACAGACGTTGGTTAAACAGAAGATGCCAGAAGCAGGAGAACTGAATGGCCAAAAAATACAGGAACAGTTTCTCCCAAGAAAGTGCTGAAACAAGTGGGGTCCATTTTGACTAGAAAAAAATGAAGACATGTGGCTTCCTCCTGTATCTGACATGTGCCTCGGAGACCAGACCTACTCTGCACTGCTCCAGGGGGCAAAGCTGGGCAGCGGAGTGGATACACGCTTAAGCCATGGGTCAGAGGGGCCTGAGTGCGGGCAATGGACGGGGGAACGGAGTACGTGGTGAGATTTCTTCTCTCTCCCCTCTCTCCCTCCTGTAACCTTGCTTTCATCTCTCTCCAGGGTTGGGGTTGGGCAGTGTGGGGGAGAGGGACTGCCCTCAGCACAGCTCTTTCTTGACTCACTCTTGTGGATGGTTGTTGCATCTCTTGACCCACCTGGTGACCAGAGCCAGCTCCTTTCCAGAATGTTGCGGTGAGCTCTTCAGAGAGGGTTCCCCCTCCAGTTGCTGGGGATTCTCACCTGCAAGAATAGGCCCTTTTTGCGGAATAACAGCGATGATAACAAACCTGATTGTGGTACAGGCAAATGGGTGAGAGTGTTCCCTTTTACTGACGAAAGAGAGTGGTGGTGTATTTGTGAATGTGTGTGCCCACACGTGTGTGAGAGTGAGTAGGTGTGCATACCTAGCTAGGGAGACCAAGGGCTGGGCTCGAACAATAGAAATTGATTTTGGTGGTATGGTTAGGTGGAGGGAGGGACTGCAAATTTCATGAGATGCCATCTGACATCAGCCACGGCTGTTGCCAGGGAAAATGTGCCAGGACTTGAAAGGGTTAGAAGATCTGAGAAGAGACATTCTGGAGAATTCTGAAAAGAATTCTGGAGATTTGTATCCAGATGTGGTTTTGCATCATAATATGTGATGACAAACACCCACCCTGTGTCATCACAGTTCTGAAACCCTTGCAAGCTGTTTGTTTCTACGTTGTGAATTTGCTGTCTGGGAGGGGGTAGCGTTTTAATGCTTTGAATCTCTCGGCTACTCCCTGTTTCCTTAGAAATACCAGATTTCCATATCCTCTTAACAAGCTGGTGCCTGTTCCACTCCTTGGATATTTCTCTGCTACTTATTTACAATTTTGGAAGCAGCTTTTAAAAAAGCAGTTTGTTGAAACATACAATACCCACCAAACCCCAACGTTTCTCTCTGCTGTTGGCATTTGCTTTCCCCTCACTACATTGCTCAGGAGCCACTGTTAGCATGGTTTCCTTTAACAATATGTTACTAAGTAATGAACTTTTCCTTGGCTCTTTGAATTATGAGGCGTCACATTACTCGATTAAGCTTCAGTTGCTCTCTAGGGAAACTGGAGATGAAAATCCTTACTTCAGAGAGTTGTGGTCAGAATTCAATGAAATATGTTAACATTAAAATAGGGGTTCAGTAAATGCCAGCTCCTGTATTATAAAGAAGGCAGCAGGCGACAGCACTGCTCAAAAGCACACATTCATAGGTGTAATCAGTTCTGCTCTAGTACTAACATGCACCCCCCCGAGTTACCACCATTCTACAAAACTGCACAACAAAAAGCACAGCATTCACTGGAATGATAAACTAGGGGCACAACGCTTAAGAACTTTGTCAGCGACACATGGGGAAAAAGATAGGACCCTAATAAAAAGGATAGCACAGTTTTACACATGTTAAATGGTTAAGAGGTATATAGATACGATAAGTATGGCACTTGACCTTGAAAAAGACTTGAAATTTGCTTTTGGAAGTGGACTTTGGTAGGGCCACAGCTTGTGTTTTATTGTGAAATGGTGGAACATGGTCTATCTGGGCAGGTGTGGCTCACAACCCATGCCGTAAACTCAAGTAAGCTGGTAGATGTTTGAGGTGTGAGCACATATGTCTTTTGAATATTCCTACAGGGCTCAGTTCAGCTAAGTGCAGTTTTTACATTCACTTAATGTTTTCTAAGAATGAAATCAAGCGTAAGCAAACAGAAAATTTGTGCTAAGCCCAAATGGTTCCCTAATGTATCACTTGCATTGAACACATTTGTGGTTTCAAAACATTGTAGCAGAACTGATGTACTTAGCTGATGCTGTTGAATGAATGAATGAATGAATGAATGAATAGTGGATGCTCTAAATCATAGAAAAAGCATTACGCTACTTTGTGGAAAGTACATTTGTAGTGTTTGGAATTGGATTTTTTTTTTTTTAATCCTATGGTTTTTGGGTTTTAAAACTAATGGGGGGACTTCCCTGGTGGTCCAGTGGCTAAGATGCCATGCTCCCAATGCAGGGGACCCGGGATCCATCCCTGGTCAGGGAACTAGATCCCACACGACACAGCTAAAAGCTCACATGCTGCAATGAAGACTGAGGGTCCTGTGTGCCACAACTAAGACCCAGCAGAGCCAACTAAATAAATTTAAATAAATAAGATAATAGGTAACTATCACAGACCTTCTGAAGCCTCCTCCTGCAGTGACTTTCAGTCTGGGCTTGGAAGAGCCACTTCGGGGGTCACTGACAGAGTAGGGGTGGAGGAAGCTGCAAGTTCCCTGCCCTCCTCTTCAACCAGAACCCTCAGGGTTGTATCTGCTTTTCTGTTTTCTTTTGAATTAAGGGTTCTGCTGCTGATTCACAAGCCTCCAAAGCATCAGTGATTCAGCTGACCAAATTTTGTTTTACAAACCAGTTCTCAGGAATGTGTTAACATCTTCTTTTGAAGAAAGATAATCCCCAGTGGATACTCAGTGGTACTAATACTCCAAAATTAATCGAATTTGGCCAAGAAATACTCAAGTGGGCCTTCGAATTACTGTTTTGCCTCCAAGCTACTCAGCAAAGTCTCATCAGCAATGGTGCATACTGGGCTTCATGTTGAGTCCAACTCCAGTCTGGGCAGATCTCAGATGAAAGTTGATGGGCATTTAAATCTAGTGCATTGATGATGTTCCTGTCTCTTTGCAAACACCAACAGTGTGATTTTCTTTATTTTTCATTTCTAGAGAGCTGGATTGAAAGATGTCTCAACGAAAGTGAAAACAAGCGTTATTCCAGCCACACATCTCTGGGGAATGTTTCTAATGATGAAAGTAAGTGCTTAAAACTCAGTCTTCCATGATGTCCTGGCTATGGGCTGTGTTCTGATGAGGAATGGTGCTTCTGGAATGCTAGACTAAGGCATGTCACCCGAAACAAGAGGCTCTCCAGCCATTTATGAAATACCCAAGCCTTCCTTATAATATCCTCCTGGAGGGAGTTCAATGCATTCAGATGAATGCGGAAACTGAGGCCACAGCAAAAACTTGCTGTTTACACATTCTCATTGTCTGAGGCCCTAAAGACTCCATCTCAGTGATGCTCCAGTGGGAAAATGTGGACTTTGAATGGGAAAGGCCTTTCTCTGTAGATATGGATTTAAAGGAGTGTGTCATGTGACTGTTGTTTTAAAGTCACAAATGTCTTTGGTGTTGGAAAGTAACAACTTCTCCTGCATATTGAACTAGAGAATTGGAATTGATGGAAAGATATTAGCTGCTGTGTTTGTTCCTTTCCTTGTGTTATGTCAGGCTAGGGCTTCTGGGTACCTTATATTAAAAGCAGAAGACGACTTGGGACTTGTATTTGCCCCTAAAGCATTATAAGAAGGGGGCAGCTTATTATAAAGTCATTTCCAACAGGGACAGAATGTCTTTCTTAGTTGGTAAAGTGCATCTCCTTAGTTCAGTTTTCTCAGAGATTCAGGGAATCTTCAGGGAAGATTTAGCCATACTGTTGTATGTCACAGTAGTTTTTCTTTTTCATTGCTGCATAGTACTCCACTGTATGCTTCTATCACAGTGTATGTATCGATTTAAATGTTGACAGATATTTAAACTGCTTCATTTTTGACTCTTTAAGCACCTCTGAACATTCTTTTTTAAAGTTTATTTTAATGTGGTAGAATATGCCTGATGTAAAATTGATCATTTTAACCATATTAAGTATATAATTCAGTGGCCTTAAGTACTTTCACCTCATTGTTTAACCATCACCACTATCTATCTCCAGAACTTTTTTCATCTCCCCAAACTAAAATTCTGTACCCATTAAACAATAGTTCTCCATCCTCCTTTCCCCCTAGTCCCTAGCAATTATTACTCTACATTCTGCTATTCTTTATGAATTTGACTAACTGTAAGAATCTCATATAAGTGGAATCACATAGTATTTGTCCTTTTGTGACTGACTTATTTCACTTGGCATAATATTCATCCATGTTGTAGCATGTATCACAATTTCCTTCCTTTTTAAGGCTGAATGACATTCCACTCTATGTATATACACCACATTTTGTTTATCCATTCATGCATTGATGGACATCTGGGCTATTTCTATTTTTTCGCTATTGTGAATAATGCTGCAATACAGACAGGTGAACAAATAACTGGTTGAGTTCTGCTTTCATTCCTTTTGGATATATAACCAGAAGTGAAATTGCTGGATCATATGGTGATTCCATATTTACTATTTTGAGACACTGCTGTAATTCCATGGTGGTTGTACCATTTTACATTTTCACCAGCAATGTGCTAAAGTTCCAATTTCTCAACATTATTGCTAATATTTGTTATTTTCTGTTTTTTTGTGTAATAGTCATTCTAATGTATAAGGTAGTATCTCATTGTGGTTTTGATTTGTAGTTTCCTAATGATTAGTGATGTTGAGCATCTTTTCATGTACTAAGTGACCATTTGTGTTATGTATACTTTGCAGTAATGCCTATTCAAGTCTTTCAGCCATTTTTGAAACATAAGCTTGTGAACTTTGAAAATTTAATTTGTTTGTTTTTGGCCGTGCTGGGTCTTTGCTGCTGCAGGCAGGCTTTCTCTAGTTGCAGTGAGCGGGGGCTCTTCCCTGGTTGTGGTGCACAGGCTTCTCACGGGTGGCTTCTCTTATTGAGGAGCATGTGGACTCTAGGGTGCCCACGGGCGTCAGTAGCTGTGACCCAGGGATTCACTTCCCCCGGGGCCTATGGAATCTTCCGGAACCAAGGATCAAACCTGTGTTGGCAGGCGGATTCTCGACCACTGAACCACCAGGGAAGTCCTTTTGATCATTTTTTAAAAATCAGATAGTTTATTTCTGTGGTTGCTGAATTGTGGGAACTTCCCTAATGATTAGTGATATTGAACAGTCTTTCATGTGCTTATTGATTATTTGTTTTATTCTTCGTAGAAATATCTATTTAAGTCTCTCAACTGCTAGTTCTTTATATATTTTGTATGTTAACCCCCATCAGGTATATGTGTTGCAAATATTTTTCTCCTGTTCTGTGGGTTGCATTTTACTCTGTTGATTGTGCTCTTTGATGCAGTTTTCGATTTTAATGTAGTCTAGTTTATCTATTTTTTCTTTTTCTTAAATTTATTCATTTTTAATTGAAGGATAATTGCTTTACAGTATTGCCTTGGTTTCTATCAAACATCAATATGAATCAGCCATAGGTTTACCCATGTCCCCTCCCACTTGGACATCTATTTTTTCTTTTATCTGTGCTTTGGTGTCCATATTCAAGAAATCATTGTCAAATCCAATGTCATGAAGGTTTTCCTTTGTTTTCTTCTGAAAGTTTTATAGTTTTAGCTCTTATGTATAGGTCTTTGATTCATTTCGAGTTAATTTTTGGTAACTTTTCACTTTTTTTCCCTCAGTTTACATCTTTTTAAAATTTCATGTACTTCTGCTCTTATCTCTAGGTTTTCCTCCCTTGCACTTTCTTTGAGGTCAATTTTTTGCCTTTTTCTGTTGTGAGACAGACACTTAGATCATTGATTTTTCAACTTTTTCTAAGGTAGGCATTTAAAGCTATAAAAATTCCTCTAAGTACTACTTAACTGTATCACATAATTTTTCTGGTGTCATACTTTCATTATTGTACAGTCAAACTTATTTTTTAATTTCTATTGTGATTTGTTCTTTTACCCATGATTTATTTAGAAATCTATTGCTTAATTTCTAAAACTTGGGGATTTCCTAGTTGCCTTTCTACTACTGATTGCTATTATAATTCCACCATGGTCACAGAACATGCTCTGTATGACTCCAATGTTTAAAATTAGTAAGACTTGATTTTTGTCCAAACATATGTTCAATTTGGCAAATGCTTACATATGCTTGTAAGGAATGAGTATTCTGCCATATTTGGATGGAATATCCTACAGGTATCAATTAGACCAGATTGGCTAATCATGTTTTTCAGATGTTCTATATCCCTATGGATTTTGATTTTGTCTCTAAGGTACTGAGAGAGGTGTTATAGTGTGATTTCCTATCTTTTCAGTTTTGTTAATTCCTGCTTTACATGTTTTGAAGTATTCATTTCTTAGAAACTTAGGATTGTTGAATCCTCTTGTTGAAATAATGTCCCTCCTCATATTGGGTTTCCCAGGTAGCTCAGTAGTAAAGAATCCTCCTGCCAATGCAGGAGACACAGGAGACTTGGGTTCGATTCCTGGTTGGAAAAATCCCCTGGAGAAGGAAATGGCAATCCACTCCAATATTCTTGCCTGGAGACTTCCGGACAGAGGAGCCTGGCGGGCTACAGTCCACAGGGTCACAAAGGAGTCACACATGACTTAGCGACCAAACAACAGCATCTCCTTCTGTCTAGTAATACTTATTGCCTTCATGTCTATTTTATCCGATGTTATACCAGCTTTCTTTTTTATTGGGATTGTTGTGGTATATCTTTGCCTTTTTATTTTCAGCCTTTCTGAATTCAATATTAGGATTTTTAATATAGTTTTAAGAAGCCAGTCAGATTATCTTTAACTGGAATATTCAGATCATTTAAATGTAATATACTTACTTACATTGTCGAGCTTAAATCAGCAAACTTGCTATTTAGTTTTTATTTCTCCCATCTGACTTTATTTCTTTATTCCTCCCTTGTTCCTTTTTTTTGAGGGGGGAGGGATTAACACAGTTATATTTTTTTATTGTTTTTCTCTGCTAATTCTCCAATTAGATGTTCTTTTAGAGTGTTTCACTCAGGGATTACATTCTGCACCCTTCCTTTCATGTCTGCCTCACATGAATCCTTCCCACACTTCAAATACAGGGCATAAACACTCTCACAGCTTGACCTAATTGAACACTTTTCCAGCATCTGTGCCATTGCTTTAGTGTATTTTATATCTCCCTATGTTATAAGCCCTATAAGACATTTCTATCATTGTTTTACATATTAGTCAATATATAATGATATTTACTCACACACTGACCCTTCCAGGGCTCTTCATCCTTGTCAGCAAGTCTGTGTTTCCATCTTGGATAACTTTTTTCTTTTCTTTCATAACTTTATTTATTTAGGCTGCAATGTGTGGCATGTGGAATCTTTGCAGGATCCTAGTTCCCTGACCCGGGATCAAACCCATGACCCCTGCATTGAGAGCACAGAGTCTTAACCAATGGACACCAGAGAAGCTCAGGGATCATTACTTCTTTAACCCAAAGACATTCCTTTACTATTTCTGGTAGGGACATATAGAGTAGTGTAGATCATGAAAACCATTGTTATTTCACCTTTATTTTTGAAAGATATTTTTGCTAAATAAAGAAATCTAGTTTGGTAAGATTTTTATTTCCCTTTCAACCCTTTAAAGTTTTCATTGCATGGTTCTCTGGTTTCTAAAAGTTAGTCATCAGACTTAATTTTACTCATTTGAATGCAGTGTGTCTTTTTGTCTCAGACAAAAAATATCTGTCTTTAGTTTACAGCAGTTTGATTGTGATGTTCTATCCCAGGGTCAATCCCTGGTCCGGGAACTAGATCCTGCCTGCAGCAACTAAGATCTGGGACAGTCAAATAAGTAAATAAATATTTAAAACATTTCTTACCTCTTAAAAAAAAAAACTGTCTCGTCTGTAGGTCCCTGCTCTCAAAGAATTTTCATTTCAGAAAGGAAGCTAAGGCGCATGTTTGCATATTAGTAAGGCAAGGTTGTATGTGATCAGTTCCACTTGAATTATGCAGGGTGTTCTACTTTGCCATACCAGTTATATTCCTGGACTCCAGTATGACCTCACTGGAAGCTTGTTAGAAATGCAG